AGTATTATAAAGAAAATCGCATTTAATTAACTTTGAATTAAAAATCGGCCAAGGTACAAATTTGGTAACTTTTTTTCGTAGGGTTAAATAAAAATTATTTTTTTAGGCAAATTAACATAGGGTCTTTGACATCCTCCTTTAATACTTGAAAACTATACTGTGTATTGAATGTCTAATACCTGGTGTTCATTCATACAACTACTCCTACTACTGAAACATCTCGTATTTGGGCATGATCTGAGTCAACAACTCCTTTGAATGCTCTAATTCATTGTCAAATGCCTTGACCTCACTCATGTCGGTGCCAACATTACCTGGATTGTTTGCGCACGTGGCCAACATGTAGTAAGTCACCATGCTTTGAAGAAAGTTGGCATCCGCTTTGGCCCATTTGTACAGCACTCTGGGCGTCAGCTCGTGTCCCCACCGGGCGAACACGTCTCGAGACACCGACAGACCAAAGTCGGTCCATTTGGCGGTATACCCACCGCCGGATGTGCTGAACACCAGTATGTTTTTAAAGTGAACGTCGCCGTGACTGACCCCCTTGCCGTGCATATAAGCCATGGCTAGACATTAAACAATAATCACGTGGAAAGTTATAATCATTTAAAACAAGGTTCATATTTTTAATTAAAACATACCGGTGCACAACTCCCGAATAAATTTCACGGTCACCTGATCGGTGAGACGACCAGCATCACCAAAGTCTTTGAGAGTACCCTGGTCGGCGCAGTCCATTACCAAAAACGCTCGCCTATAGGAGACAATGTCGTGCGACGGGTCACCCGATACGCTGCAAAGTATCACTTTTCGGCCCAAATTGATGGCCACTCTGTAGGTGACAATGTTTTCGTGTTGCAGTGATTTCAATATACATTTCTCGATGAAATGGTTGAGATGATCGCTGGCCGCTCTATCTTTTGGGAACTGGACATACTTGGCCGCGAACCGGTCGCCCGATTTGACATCGCTCAGGCGGCGACCCTGTTCGGTGCGCTTTGTCACCTCGATCTATTGAGTATTGCATAAAAACAAATTACATGAGAATAAAATCACTACTTTAAACATGTTTTTTGGACACAATCATACCTGATCCGTATAACCACCGGTAAACACCTCGCCAAACGCACCCTGGCCGATTGACTGGCCGATATCAAAGCCCTTACCTCTTAGTTTTTGCAAATCCCGTTTGGTCTTAGCCCGGAGTCGGGCCACCGGCTTGTGGGCGGTTACATACGATGCATAACGTCCTAAGCCAAAGGCCGGCCACTCAGCGCTGCTCACGTTCAGCTCACCGGACGTCGTATCGCCCGTACGACCGGTTTGGTAGCCATTGGGCGCGAATTCGTAGCGACCCCTCAGTTGGGGCCAAGGCTTTTGACTTTCTCGCATGATTGGTGTCGCACCGGTGGGCACGTAGTCCTGACCCACTGCGGGCACTACCTTAACAGTCCCACTTCTGGGCGGTTTGGGAGGCGGTGTCGGCAAACCTCTGGGCATTTTGGGAGGCGGTGTCGGCGGACCTCTCGGCGGTTTGGGGGGCGGTGTCCGGCGGCCACCGGCGACCCGAGTGATGGATGGGGTCGGGTAGGTATACTCTGCACCAGAGGGACCGTAGTAGTGACCCACTGTGGGCACTCCCCCAACAGCCCCTTTCAGGGCCAGCTCTTCATCTCCCGGCGCTAATTCAGGTGTCGGCTCTCTGTATGGTTCGGCCAATCGCTGAGTACCTCTGAGCGATTTGGGAGGCGATGTAGGGCGACCTCTCAGCGGTTTGGGGGGCGGAGTAGGGGGTCGGCGGCCACCGGCGGCCGGTGTAATGGGTGGGGTCGGGTAGCTATACTGTGGGATGCCTCCAACTCGGGCAACGCTTTGACCGGTGGCCGGTGTTATGAGTCGTTCCTGACTTGCCATTTGGTCCACAAGGTTGGCCATAGTGCGTCCGTATCGCGCCCTCCCGGTGGCCGGTGCGAACCGAGGGGTGGGGATAGGGGTGGTGTGCATAATGTTTGAAAGTGCATATTGTGGTGACTCCTGAGGTTGGTTTCCGTACCTGCGGGCCATGTCTTGTAGGTCTGTGTCTGTGTGTGTCTTAACCACTGGAATGCAAGTTATTTTTAAAAGTAATTTTGTTTTATTAATTGTTATTAAAAATTATTTATTTTTAACATTATTTTAGATAAAAACATAATGTAATTATTTGTAATGATTAAAATAAATATTACTATTATATTACTTTACATAAAATTTTAGTTATTTAAATAAAATTTTTAAATTATATACATTATATAAATGTTATAAATTTATTCAAATCATGTCCAACGGGTCAGCGCATGGATTCGCTTCGGGGGAACCGTTTAATAACTCACAACACATTGAAACACCGGTAGAGCCGACAGTCACGTGCGATAAGAGACGGCCTACAAGTCCGCCCGGCCACTCATTGCTGCTCACGTTCAGCTCACCGGCACCGGGACTCGTGGACATTCCTATGGATGTGTTTGGATGTGTAGGTATTGGTGCCGATTGACCACTAGTGTACTCTCGGACTATGTCTTTGCGATTACATGTATTTATTGTTTTTTTGAAGTTGAATAAAATTTTGACAAAACAAATATTGTTATATTATTCCAAACTATTTTTATTTAAATTTTTTATGTACATGTAGTTAATTCATTTTTTATACAAATTTTAAGCATATTATTCAATTGATTTTTGTCTAATTAACTTACTAATTAACTTTTTAAATAAAACTATTTTCTAAATGTTTTATTTCCATTTTGTTTGACTAATATTCTGATTACTAGATTACAACTCGTGGAGTCTTTAGGTCAGTGCCTACAACCAAACCATATATTCACCCAAAACTATACCTCTTGAGCACATCCAGCAACGGCTCCCGCGTACGCGACAACTCATTGGACAGTTGACTAACCCGAGTCAGATCGACGCCCTCGTTCAGCGCATTTCCATTGCATTTACCAATCATAAAGTTTAACATACCCTTCAGCTCCGATAGATCGTTCTCGATCATCTCTTGGATATCGTCGGCCGACACCTCTACACCCAATTTACCGTAAAGAGCCCTAGATATACTCATACCGAAGTCGGTCAATTTGATGATATACTCACCGCCCCGTGCGTTGAACACCAGTATGTTTTTGTGGTGCAAGTCGTTATGGGCCACACCCTTGGCGTGCATATAACCCATGGCTATAGAAACAAACCAAATAGAAATTAGTTATTCAATGTAAAATCATTAAGATCAAGATGTTTAAAAAATTACTAATATGTAAAATACTGTACATACCTGAACACAACTCTCCCGTGAACTGCACAGCCAACCGATCGTATAGTTTACCCTTTTGAACGAACTTGAACAAAGTACCATGGTCGGCGTAGTCCATGATGAGAAACACGCGCCGATAGCCCGCGTGATCGGGCGCTTCAGTGCCCGATATGTTGCGGAGTATCGCTCGTTGGCCTAAATTAATGACCACTCTATAGGCCATAATGTTTGGATGGCTCAGCGCTTTCATCACAGCCTTCTCCACGACGTGGCACAAGTAGTCGTACGGCTCGGTATCGGTGGCCAACTGAGCGTATTTGGCAGCAAACGGTTGTCCGGGCCGTACGTCGCGTAGATATTTGCCCTGGTCGGTGCGCTGGGTGTCCGTGATCTATTTCCATAATAAAAATCAATATTTAATCATGTAATAAATATAATATAAAACATTATAACTACACATACCTGTGCGGTGTATACGCCCACAAACACCTGACCAGTTTCACCAATCTGGCCCGAGGGGTCAACTCTCAAGTCAAAGCCCAGGTCATACAGTTTGGCCACATCGCGCTCAGTC